ATAGAAAACTGATATTAATTTCATGAATCATGTTTTAGGATGAAAGATGCATCAATTTCACCCATCATTCTTTTAGATGAAAGAGCCACATGTGATGTAATGTGTGTGTTATATTAATGATAATTGAAATCAAGTCATAAACAAAAACAAAGCGCAACAATTTCATCACTTTGTGGAGCTATCAATACAAAAAATGTGCTGTGTCAACTAATTAGATCCACATTCACGAAACCAGCTTCTCATCCCTCAGGCATTCTAAACTGTATAAAAGCTCTCTCCACTCAGGGTTATTCCAACCTCTTCTCTTCTTTCCTTCTCAGCTAACTGGGTAAGTCTGAATCTGCTCTTCCCAGGTATTGGAATAGTACTTTGCTCTACAATTTAATCTAGGATGGTCTTTTCCATTAAGAACTAGTGGGTAAAATTTTAGGTGAAATGACAAATCTTACAAAAACGATTAAAGGTGTTATACACAGCTCTTCTCTGCCTTCAGGGTTGGCATTTAATTGCAAAGCAACCTGGAAATTTCTTGATATGGCAGAAAACTAAGTTCATGATTGGGCCACTTCCAACAGCTGAAGAAATGATGGGACTAGTTAAATATGTATTCCTCTTCTCTGTATGGGTGACTGGAAATGACTTGGAAAAGTTTAAATCTTCATGGTTCACAAGGGAGATGCTGAGCTGAGAAGCAGAACTTCCATTATCTCCAGTTTATTCTACTACACATCGCTTAAATTGCTTTTATATTAATTCAAGATAATTGGGCATGGATATTACCAGAGATCAGGCACTGGCTAAGAGAGAGTATCACACAGAGGAATTGAGAACTCTTGGAAATTCTTTCCAAGAAATGTATTTAAGAGAAAGTGGGATCATAGAGGGAGTTTAAGGAGCTGACCGGGATTTTTGTGTCAAGGGGGGAAACTTGTTTGGGGTGGCAAGTTTTTCAGGAGAGTTCAGAACTCAGAATCAAAACACTATGCTGTTAAGCTGGTTGTAAATATCTCAGTCCCCTGATTCAATGTGTGGAAACTAGGGACAATAATCTTTGTAATTCCATTGTAATGTTCTCATCAAACAAGTTACTGAGCAAAATGAGTAATGACTTATAATCCCTTTTCTGACAAGTCTCAGCACAAAGGAGATCAGTGAGAAGGAACAGCTAGAGTAATGAAATCCAGCATAACAACGCATTCCACTCTTAGAGTTCTAGTACTTGCTGATCTACTGAGTCACCAAAACATCTGAGTAAAGAATTTTGCAGTTCTACTTCAATTTTAATTTCTAATAGACAGCAGTTACCTGGTGTAGTTCAAAACGCTCTTGTCTGAGGAAAGGCAGTGAACTCTATAGCACTTTGATGTATGTAAATAATTCTTGTACTTGGTAAAATCAACTCTTTTGTAGATTGAACTCCACCCCTACGAGATGTCTTGCTACGACCTGGTCTCCAGCTCTGCCTGTGGCGTTGCTCGCCCCCAGCCCCTTGCTGACACCTGCAATGAGCCATGTGTTCGTCAGTGCCCTGATACCACCACTGTGATCCAGCCACCTCCAGTGGTCGTCACTCTTCCTGGCCCCATCCTCAGCTCTTTCCCCCAGGATTCAGTTGTGGGATCCTCTGGAGCACCCTTCGTTGGGGGCTATGGAGGCCTGGGAGGCTATGGCTCACTTGGCTATGGGGGCTATGGCTATGGGGGCTATGGCTCCCTGGGCTATGGAGGTCTCTATGGCTATGGGGGCTATGGGTCCCTGGGCTATGGTGGTCTCTATGGCTATGGGGGCTCTCTGGGTTACAGGGGACTGTATGGTAGATCCTATGGGTTTGGCTCTTGCAGCCCTTACTCCTACCGGTTCGGCAGGTACCTCCGTGGCAGCTGTGGCCCCTGCTAAATTCTACTAAATGTCCCCTGATCAAAGAATGACTGGCAAATACATGATACAGTTTCGATCCTCAACTGAGCTCCTGAGTAAGGGGCAGAGCATCAGACTTCCACTTCAGTGGAGTCAGAACAGTTCCATAAATTACACTTATTTCCTTCTTCGTTTCATCTCCTCTTACTTGCCCCTGCCAGCTAAATGTGTCAGCTCCACCATCCTAGAGGATGCCTCCTTCTCCCTGAAACTGCCACCTCCTGGGAGAAGTCTGAAGGAACACTTCTCTTGAAGCCTGGGAGGACAACATGTCTGCCTCTGTCTTATGTGTCTTTCTCCATTGCAATAAAACAAGTCTGCAACCAACACCTGCCTCTGCACCTTTCTGTCATAGCCCAGCCTGGCCTGAAGGGTTCCCTGGCCCTGCTGTGCCATGAGACCCTTCCAGCCAAGCCGCAGCAGTCTCACAGTCCTGGCAGCAGAGCTAGGCTGAGCTGCCTCTGGGGACACCCCAGAGCCCTGGAAGCTCTGGCCACATATGATCTTGCTCCTAAGAATCCTCTCTGCCCAGTCTTTCATTGCTACTCATCTGAAAATAGTGTCTCCCCTACACTAAACACTCCAGTTGTCAGACATCCAGTAGTTAGCACAAATTTTCTTTTCACTAGTTAATTTAGCGCTTGAATTCCTTTTTATTTTACATCTTCTCAAGTGATGCACTAGAAATCGTCAAAATGTGATCACAGACAAAGTAAAAAAAAATGTTGCCTGAAGTTCTGTCAAAGCATATTCTGAAAAAAGAACAATAGGAGGAAGGTAAATAATAGGAAGCAATTTTTAAGATAGGTATCTGATGAGCAAAGATCAAGCACTGCCTCTTTTTTGTTAATCACTCCTGTGATAACAGTTGCCTCAGGGGAGTTTTGGCTGAGTGTTTTAAGTCATCTGGGTGAAGTGAAAAGAATAGGAACTAACACATTACAGAGGATTTACCTGAGGATTTCACTGAGACTCTTTCAAGGAACAGCTCCACATGTGTAGGTAGAATTTCTGGAGCCTATCTCAGTGTCAAGGAACAGCAAGCTTGTTTTTAACAGGTAACTTCAATGTTCCCCACTAAATGTAACTGGATATGTCAGACGGATGGGTATGTGCTGTAAGAAGTGACAAGTTCAAATGAAAATTTGTCTTCAGGACACACAAATCTCACTTTTAAGAAAACACTGTTTTATTTTACTGATTAGCTAGTATTTATTGAGAATATTTTGACCAAAGAGAAGTTATTCACTGAAGGCTCTCCTGCTTCATCCCCCTGTCCCAACACTGCCTAACCTCATGGCCCTGTGATTTTGGGGAAAGATCAGGAGAGGTGGCAGGGGTGTCTGGAAAGGGACTGGAGCTTGCAGGACTCAGCTGAGAGCGCAGCTGCTGACCCATGAGTGTCTGGGATTTGTGAAGAACCCAGCAGCTGAGCTGCAGAAGAAAGTCTCCTGTCTTTGGGGCACCAAGAAATGGCTCTTTGTCCCTGCTGCTGCTTTCCATGTTCAAATGGCTTGAGGCCACTCAAGGACACTGCTGCTGTGAATTCCCAGGAGCTCAGCAAACAACCTCCTTGTTCCTGCAGCACCAGCCCTGCATCTCCTTGGCTCAGGTGCCTTTTTTGTGCTGAGAAAAGCCCTCTTTCCTCACAGCTAGTTCAGCCCAGGGCAATTCCTGCGACAGCTTTACAAAACCACCCCTGTATGCCCCTCTCAGATATTGGAAGGCTGCTACTAGGTCACCACGCAGCCTTCTCCAGGCTGACCAGTCCCAGCTTTATTAGCCTGTCTTCATAGAGGAGGTGCTCCAGCTTCCTCATCGTCCTTGTGGCCTCCTCTGGACTTGCTCCAAAAGATGCATGTCCTTCTCATGTTGAGGACACCAGAACCCCTCTCTGTTTCCTCTCTGTTTCTCTTCTGCTCCACATCAGGATCCTTGCACTAACACAGAGCCTGTAAGAGGTACTTCAGTGTAAATCATACATGATCACAGCTGAACACTTGACCCCCAACTGCCAACTTTTTCCGCTGATTCTCTCAGTAACGCAGTGTCAGACAGGTACCAACAAGCTCCCAATTAGATGTATATTGTGTCAGACAGTAAGTGCCTAGCCCAAGATAACAAGATTGGTGAGAGCTATTAGCACCCAGCTGACATGATTACATAGCTTTTATTTGGGCTGGATGCCTGTTAAGGGTGATCTCATGTCTGGTTGCAAAATAGTACATAGAGATGCACTTCTATCAGTGTCTCATGTTACATGGGAGTTAGAGGAATGGAGAGAGTTTACTACATTGGTTACTCAAGGATAACTCTCAGAAAACCTCTATTTATTTCCATTAATGACATTGATGCATGATTTAGGAGTGCTCTGTTCTATCTGCTGTTAATATAAAGCTGAGTGACATTAAGCAGGAGGGAATCAGGCTTTAAGACAGGAAAAACAAGATGGCTTAACTGATGGGAATAACAGTAATGTTATTCCCCAAATGTCAGTAATACAGTGCAAAGCCACGTGGCTGCTGACTAGGGAGAAAATATCTGGTGTAGCACAAGCTATAATCAGAAAGAAGTGACAGAAGATGAAAGTCTCTGAGTAGCCCCGATAAGTGATGGTAAGGTACAAGGAGATGGCATGCTCTTGAGTGAATCCATGCTAAATATAGAATCCCACAGAGTGGTGGTACTGTAAGCAGAACCTGTAGAAGGAGGGGGAAGAGCACACCTAATTTTGTCCTCACTGCCAATGTGCCACTACTTCTCCAAAAGAAAATGTGAATCCAAGAAACGTGAATGGCACTAATCTGAAGTTAAAAGAGCTCACACGTACAACAGTAAGAGGCAGAATATTGTTCTGGGATGGGTCATAAAGAGGAAGATTAAAAAAAAAATGATTTGTGTTTGATTTTTGACACCAAGGTAGTTATAAATTCCCTCAATATCATATGGTAGCAGTTTTATAAAAGTATGAAACTTTGTTCAGTGAGAGGGAAGCATTATATGTCCTCCTGAAAAGCCAGTAGCTACGGCAAGACATTCTAATACATTAATATTATGGCCCACATATATACCTGCACACGTATTCATACATTCTGGCTGTAGCGGGGCAGAGCCAGGAGAAGAAGACAGTGATAAGGGGAGGGCAGAGGGCTGCAGGCAGCAGGAGCGTAGGGTCTGCCAAAGGTGCAGAGACCCCCCGAGGCCTGAGTGGCCCCGGCACCGTAGAGGCCTCCCAGCCCCAGGTTGCCTCCAAAGGCGGGTGCTCCGGAGGAGCCCACCACGGCTTGCTGGGGGAAGGAGCTGAGGATGGGGCCGGGGAAGGTGACAACCACAGGCGGTGGCTGGATGAAGGCTGAAGAGTCGGGACACTGGCGGGCGCACAGCTCGTTGCAGCTCTCAGCGATGGGCTGGGGGACGGCCACGCCGGTTCTTGGTGGGCACAGGTCGTAGCAAGACATCTTGGTGTGAGAAGAGAGGTGAGCCTGCAATACCAAGCATGGGTGTCATGAGTGAGGGCTTGATCCTTCCTAGTTAAGAAGCACTGTTCTTCTCATGCTGCCCTGCAGATGCAGGAGCCAGAGCCACGGCCTTGCCTGCACTGCCCAACGCTTGTCTTTCGCCCGTCCATTCCCCATCTACGCCCTATTCTTCACGCACAGAGTCCGCACAATCCCTTCCCCAGAGCCTGTGCTGATCCTGGCTCTGCTTGTCCTCGCCAAGCGGCTCCATCCTCCCTCCTTCCACCATCATTTAGGGCTGTCTGCCCCCCCCCAGCCTGCTCCCTGGATGGCCACTGTGCCAGAGCTCTCCTGGATAGGGAGTCCCTCACCGGACTCAACCACTGGAGGCAGAGCCCCGCAGGCACTCACCTACCCTTTTCCTGAGCAGAGCAAGGCAGGAGCGGTGGATGCCAGCGCTCACCCTGGCCAGGGCTTTTATGCCTGGCTGGCGAGGGCGGGGAGCAGCGGCCGCGCTGGGGGCACGTGGCTCATGGCGGCCAATTCCCGGCCTCCTCCCTGCGTGGTGCGGGGCTGTTTTGCTGATGCCGTTTGCTCACCAGCCCCAACCCGCTCTATCAGCCCCAGCAATTACCCTGCTTGGTCGCTTGACAGCTGCCACCTCATGGGTCAGATTGTTCCCTCTGGCTTTTCATTATCTCCGTGTGTTAGAGGGCACGCAGCGTGACAAAGGCTGACTGCAAGTGCCATGCGTGCCATGGCTCTTCCTCACGGGCTTGATCTCAGAGTGGCCTCAGGCCTTCATTGCAGAGCCACAGGGCATATGAGGGCGCTGAGCAAGAATTTGCCTTGTCAAGGCCTCCCGCACGCCAGTGACAGTGTGATGTGTTCCCAGCGTCCATTATCTGCAGAAGCGTGAGGTTACGAAATGTCAAATCAAAGGCATTCCTGTGGGGATCTGCCTGCTCAGCACTGCGTATCGCTGCCTGCTAAGAGCAAGGGAGCGGGCTCCCATATGCCTGCAGGCACTGGCCATTGACCTCTGCCAATGCCGGCCAACAAGAGTCCTCATGCTCTTCTTTCCTGAGGTGCGTGGCATAAAGAGCACAGATCCCCACTCGGGCCCAAGCATCGGAGGATGTGGCCAGCCCCGACCCAGAAGGTCCTTGACGGAGTTTGGAGATCTTTGGAGGAACACTGTTGTGTGTGGGAGATGTTAGGTCTCATGTAGCCCACAGAGCAGAATGGGGAGCGAAGGAAACCTGGAAGCAGAATGTGCTGTTCTGGCAAGGGGATGCTGACTCAGGGAGGGGCAGGAGCCAGACAGCCCCGTCATCATAGGACAGAAGGTGTTTCCAACTCTGCAGATTGGCCCAGGCAATGCTGAGCCATGGCAAGGCTGGTATAAAAGCCGTGCCTCTGCCAGTCTCTCCCAACCACCACTCTGGTCACCTTCTCCTCGAGGAACAGGGTAAGTCTGTGAGCGCTTGTCCTTCTGGCCCTGTGCACCAGCCCCAAGGTCTCCCTCTTGGGAGTTACCCTTTGCTGCTCTCTTACAACCTGTAACTCTTGCAGAGCACCATCCCATCGCACACCAAGATGTCTTGCTACGACCTGTGCCCACCAAGAACCGGCGTGGCCGTCCCCCAGCCCATCGCTGAGAGCTGCAACGAGCTGTGCGCCCGCCAGTGTCCCGACTCTTCAGCCTTCATCCAGCCACCGCCTGTGGTTGTCACCTTCCCCGGCCCCATCCTCAGCTCCTTCCCCCAGCAAGCCGTGGTGGGCTCCTCCGGAGCACCCGCCTTTGGAGGCAACCTGGGGCTGGGAGGCCTCTACGGTGCCGGGGCCACTCAGGCCTCGGGGGGTCTCTGCACCTTTGGCAGACCCTACGCTCCTGCCGCCTGCAGCCCTCTGGCTCTGCCCCGCTACAGCCAGAGGCTGTGGGACACCCGTGGCTCCTGCTAGAGCCAGGTCAACTGCACCAGGCCCATTCTGGGGTGAGGTGGCATGCATGGGCTACTGAGGAGTGCTGAGCATCCTCATCCCTAGCCAAGGCCTTGGTAGCTGCCAGTGTCGCACGCCCTCCCCTCATCCCTGCCCTCTTCTGCTCTCTGTTCTCCTCCCGTTTCCTCTCTCTTCTCAGCTGGGGCAGGGTCTGCACGTAAAAGGCCCTGAGGGGCTGATGGACCAAGTCCTGGGGATCTGGAATGCTTCAGGAAGGCAGTATGCCAAGCTTGAAGCCCTGCTCTGGAGACATTGCCTCTGTTTCCTCCAACAAGTGGTTGTCAGCCTCTCTGGGATTTGCCCTCCGGATCAGTGACAGTCTTTGCAGCTCCTCTGTTCACAATAAAGTTTTCCTGCATCTAAGCTTTGTCTCCCTCCCTTCTTCTCCCAGCTGGGGAGACCATGGAGGCAGGTTCCAGGCAACTGTGGGAGGACAAATGCTGGTGCTGAGATGCCCAGCTTAGGTGAGGGTGGGTGCTGGTTGGTCATGAAACGTTCAGGCAGGATGGAGAAAAGCTTTTGGTGGGTCTGGCAGGAGCCGGAGAGAGGGCAGAGATCTAGATAGGCTCAGGCAGTGCTCTTGTGCCTGCTCTTCGCCGCCTGGGAGTGGCACCAGCTCCAACAGGTCGCAATGCTCTGCAGAAACAATACAGCATTTCCAGGCATCTGCAGAGAGGAGACTTGGCGAGAGAGAGTATTAAACCCTGTGCCAGCAACGTGGCATGGGTTGTGAAGAGCAGTTTGTCAGGAAAGGCCCTGGGAGTGCATAGGGACACCATGGGGAGCAGGATCAGGAAACATGCCTTGGCCAAAAGTGTTCAGCTGCACCCTGTGGTACAAACATTATATGTGGTGGAGTCCTGCTTTTCTGGAGATGGCTGAACATCTGCTGTCGACGGCAAGTCTAGAATGAATTTCTTGTTTGCTTTTCTTGCCTCCATTGCATTTGCTTCCCTTGTGGAGGTTTCTTTCCTTCATTCCATGAGTTTTCTCAATTTTAGACCTCCAATTCTCTCCCCATCCCTGCGGGGAGGTTCGGAGCGAGCTGCTCTGTGGTGTTTAGTGGGCAGATGAAAGCAGGAAAATGACAGCAGGACAGAGAGAATCTGTCCTGTATTGAGGGCATGAGAGAGCTGGGCTACCTACTGTTTGCACAGAGGATGCTCTTGGGGTCTAATCAGTGTTCACACAGGTCTGACGTTAAGCTGTCAAGAATCAGGAGTTAGGCTCTTTTCAGAGGTGTCCAGTGCCAGGACTACAGGAAATGGGTTCCAGGGAAACCTCAACTTCCCAAGGCAGTTTTTCACGGTGAGGATGAGCAAGCACTGGAAGAGGTTGTCGTGGATCTTATGGAGTCTCTGTGCTTGGAGGTGGACAATAGCCTCTGGACATGGCTCAGGGCAGCCAGATACAGGTGATCTTGCTAGAGGCAACAGCATGACAAGATGCTTTCCTTGCAAAGCATACTCCCACTTTCATCAAGCTGTGATTCTTGTGCTTAAGTGTGTGCATCAGGGAAAGAAGTTGGCTCAACCATGTTGGTCTGTGCTTGGAGTGAGCAAGAGAAAAAGAAAGGAAGGGGAAGAAGAAGAGGGAAAAAGCAGAAGGGTAAAGGGAGGTAGAAGAGGGAAGTGGTGGAATAACACAGGGTGAAATCACCCAGAGAAGGGGAGAATAGATAGGCAAAGGAAAAGGGGTAGGAAAAGGGACAGGAAATGGAATTGAAGGCCTTCCATCTGCTTTCTTCCGCAGAAAATCAAGCAGAGCCAAGGAGGCACACAGGGCTGGAGTCACTGCAGACATTGCCCCGGAGCGCCTCTAGTCCCTGGTGCAGAGCCAGTGATGCGCAAGGAGGCTGGAGGTCTGCAGACGCCTTGGGGCTGCGTGTCCCCCTGCAAGGGAGCAAGCGCATTCAGCCTGCGCTCCTGGAGCTCAGCTGTGGGGCCGTGTGTGTCCAGAGCTCCCGAAAAGCAGCTAAGCCTGGCTTTGCTGCTGCCGGGGCTGGGAGACTACCATGGCCTGTCTGGCAGAGCCCTGAGTAGGACGGGGAAAGCCTGGTACCCAGGCTGGTCTGTGAACAGAAAGGTGCAGAGGCAGGCATTGGATGCAGGCTTGTTTTATTGCAGTGGAGAAAGACACACATAAGGCAGAAGTCGGAAGGTTTTCCTTCACGGTTTCTGGAGAGGTGATCCTTCAAAGTTCTCCCAGTAGGAGGCTGCTTATAGACAAGGAAGTTTCTTGTGGGTTTCTGGTGGATTAATGCATTTGGGCACAGGCAGGAGCAAGGGGGAGGAGAAGTGTCATTGAGAGAGGGAAAGCAAGGTAAGAAAAGGAGGAGGCCTAGGGGTGAGTTGCCCCAGGAACCGTGGAGAATGTGGGGCTGGCTCTAGCAGGAGCCACAGGAGTTCCAGAGCCTCTGGCTGTAGCGGGGCAGAGCCAGAGGGCTGCAGGCAGCAGGAGCGTAGGGTCTGCCAAAGGTGCAGAGACCCCCCGAGGCCTGAGTGGCCCCGGCACCGTAGAGGCCTCCCAGCCCCAGGTTGCCTCCAAAGGCGGGTGCTCCGGAGGAGCCCACCACGGCTTGCTGGGGGAAGGAGCTGAGGATGGGGCCGGGGAAGGTGACAACCACAGGCGGTGGCTGGATGAAGGCTGAAGAGTCGGGACACTGGCGGGCGCACAGCTCGTTGCAGCTCTCAGCGATGGGCTGGGGGACGGCCACGCCGGTTCTTGGTGGGCACAGGTCGTAGCAAGACATCTTGGTGTGAGAAGAGAGGTGAGCCTGCAATACCAAGCATGGGTGTCATGAGTGAGGGCTTGATCCTTCCTAGTTAAGAAGCACTGTTCTTCTCATGCTGCCCTGCAGATACAGGGGCCAGAGCCACGGCCTTGCCTGCACTGCCCAACGCTTGTCTTTCGCCCGTCCATTCCCCAACTACGCCCTATTCTTCACACACAGAGTCCGCACAATCCCTTCCCCAGAGCCTGTGGTGATCCTGGCTCTGCTTGTCCTCGCCAAGCAGCTCCATCCTCCCTCCTTCCACCATCATTTAGGGCTGTCTGGGCATCCCAGCCTGCTCCTGGGATGGCCACTTTGCCAGAGCTCTCCTGGATAGGGAGTCCCTCACCAGACTCAACCAGCGGAGGCAGAGCCCCGCAGGCACTCACCTACCCTTTTCCTGAGCAGAGCAAGGCAGGAGCGGTGGATGCCAGCGCTCACCCTGGCCAGGGCTTTTATGCCTGGCTGGCGAGGGCGGGGAGCAGCGGCCGCGCTGGGGGCACGTGGCTCATGGCGGCCAATTCCCGGCCTCCTCCCTGCGTGGTGCGGGGCTGTTTTGCTGATGCCGTTTGCTCACCAGCCCCAACCCGCTCTATCAGCCCCAGCAATTACCCTGCTTGGTCGCTTGACAGCTGCCACCTCATGGGTCAGATTGTCCCCACTGGCTTTTCATTATCTCCGTGTGTTAGAGGGCACGCAGCGTGACAAAGGCTGACTGCAAGTGCCATGCGTGCCATGGCTCTTCCTCACGGGCTTGATCTCAGAGTGGCCTCAGGCCTTCATTGCAGAGCCACAGGGCATACGAGGGCGCTGAGCAAGAATTTGCCTTGTCAAGGCCTCCCGCACGCCAGTGACAGTGTGATGTGTTCCCAGCGTCCATTATCTGCAGAAGCGTGAGGTTACAAAATGCCAAATCAAAGGCATTCCGATTGGGATCTGCCTGCTCAGCACTGCGTATCGCTGCCTGCTAAGAGCAAGGGAGCGGGCTCCCATATGCCTGCAGGCACTGGCCATTGACCTCTGCCAATGCAGGCCAACAAGAGTCCTCATGCTCTTCTTTCCTGAGGTGCGTGGCATAATGAGCACAGATCCCCACTCGCGCCCAAGCATCGGAGGATGTGGCCAGCCCCGACCCAGAAGGTCCTTGACGGAGTTTGGAGATCATTGGAGGAACACTGCTGTGTGTGGGAGATGTTAGGTCTCATGTAGCCCACAGAGCAGAATGGGGAGATAAGGAAACCTGGAAGCAGAATGTGCTGTTCTGGCAAGGGGATGCTGACTCAGGGAGGGGCAGGAGCCAGACAGCCCCGTCATCATAGGACAGAAGGTGTTACCAATTCTGCAGATTGGCTCAGACAATGCTGAGCCATGGCAAGGCTGGTATAAAAGCCGTGCCTCTGCCAGTCTCTCCCAACCACCACTCCCTTTTGGGGGGTATCTCCCTGGAACCGTTCCGACTGGCACGCCAGGGAGTTACTCCACCAGTTGATCTCCCTTTCACACTCCCTGATGGTCCTCAGCGTCTCAACCTCCTCCTTAAGTCTTGCCACCAGGCTAAGCAGATCTTCTACCTGCTCACACCTCACACAGGTGGAGTGCTGTCCTCCCTCCCCCGGCAGCAGCAGGCTCTAGCACTCCCTGCACCCAGAGACCTTAACAGCCACGGTTTGGGACGGGGTCTCTGTCTGAGTTGCTGCAGTCTTCTTACTGCAAGCTCTCTTTCTGGAGGCGACCATATTGGTCCGCAGTCTGGGACACCAGCAACAGGATCAGCAACACGACCTGCTCGTTCCTCCCTACGCCTGGTCGCTGCCCTCTCAGAGGCTCTTTCAAGGCAAGGGGCAGGGGAGTGGTCGCCGTCACCGTGGGAACGCCCCCCGCCACGTCAGCCGCTCTCTCGCAAGGGGTGCTGGGGCTTCGGGGATCGGGAGATGTCGGGAATCGTGGTGTCTCTGCGCTATCCCCTCTGATTTTCCTCATCTCCGTTGACCCTCGCGGTCGCTGAAGCGTGCCGGCTGTGGCTCTAGCTAGGCTAGCTCCAATCAGCTGACTGAATCCTTCTGTGAGACTGATGTGCCAGGCCATCTGATCCACACAGTCCAGTAAATCTGATTGTCCCCTACCTCCACCTGGCTGGAGTCAGGGCCCCTCTAATAGTCATCACAACGTTGGACACTTAAGTCTTGTTGAAAGGGATTATTCTTCATTATCACGGGAGCTGGAGTAAAATCAGCTCTTCCACTCCATCTGGGAACCTGCTTACCAGAGACTGAAGCCACAGCTCTCATGGGATGATCAATATTGGCCCTTCCCTCTTCAATTCACTCACCTGTTACTCCAAAGCTGAAGTAGGTTTTCCATCC